TTTGTGGTTGTTAGTGCTCTAGAAAAAGTTATATTTTACTCACACTTATTTTATTTATATAAATAGTGAGGTGAGGGTAGTTGAAACTTTGTGAAAAGAGAAAAGTTATCGTAAATACGTATATTTTCAAATATTTTCAAAACGAGACCCAAAACTCGAGCGCTTTCGAATAGTTGACTATTCTTTTTCAGGATAATAAAGAGTTATGTTTAATGAGTGTGATGAAATATATAAGCCTCGGATGTCGATGTCACGTAAACAGCACGTTCAATATGAGTTGGCCTTGACAGCTAGCCAATCATAACCTAGAGTTGTTTGTGTCGTGACATCAACATCCTTTGTCTATTATACATTCACTACGAGTTGGCTTATTATGAAAGATCTACTTCGTTAGTTACTACTAATTAGACGAATCTTAAACAAGAAGGAACATAAAAAAAGGGTGTATGATTAAAAAATATTACGATCTGAAGTTACCTCCAAACGGCTTTACAGACAAACTGTAGATTTGTGTTTTTTAAACCCGGAATCTTAATAAATTACTCCTTTCAATCTTTGAATACTTCTCTAAGAGCAATACGTCTATATTCTATTAGCTGCAAACCTCTCTTTTTGTTAGTATCAGTGCTCATCAGGTGGTTTGAAACATACAAGCAGAATAATTCAACTTTTGAAATTAAAGACGGACATAGTCGTTGACAAGAAAATGAATTTCTACAAATTATAAAATGTAAAACAGACCATCTACAGCACTAATTTCATTACATATTTGTTTTATTTACACTATTCACTAGACATTACATCCAGAAAGCACGTTTAAACCTAAAAAACAATGAAACACTTTAAACAAAATTCAACTCCCGTTTGAAGGCACAATGAAATGAACAAGATAATTGACTAAATTCTTAAACCTAATTGACACTTGAGTAAGGAAACATATTATACTAATATAATTATAAGTAGGAAAACAACGATTTATAGGACACAATGAAGCGGTTTATTTACGGTGGAACATTGTTCTGTCTTCTTCATTATGCTTATAAATCGTTGCTTGCATATTTATTATTGAAATCTTACTGACGTTATGTATGCATCGCATTTAATAACTTGTAAAGCTTAACGTAAATTTGCTATATTAACGATCTTATCTTAAAGTAAGCGTATTTGTTTCTTGCAGAGTAAATCAATAAGTACTTTACTCGACATAAAACAAGCAATACACGTATGTTTTATTCTATCAAGCAAGTACGGTCATACAGGATACAAAAGTAGTAAAATAACCTATGAAGTATGTTAAATTACAAAATAAGGATTACTACTGCCCTTAAACTAATATTTTCAAAAACTATAAAATTTTCACATACCAAATTCATCACGGTTACTTTAAAAACAAATACTCTAAACAATTTGTTTTGTATCTCACGTGTTTTATAATGAGTTTCGAACAATAACAAAATACCAGGCGTCACATTTATGATAAAGGTAAACCTTAAATTTTTACCGTTATCGAATTATTTTGGTTAGTAATAAATACTGAGTCTTGAAACAACATTAAAAAATATTGAATTATTATTTTTCTAATTCATTTGTTATTCTAATTCAAGTAAAACTTTTCATATTTCTTTATTACATAATATGTATTGGAAAACAATAAAATCCTATCATTCTCTACAGGAGCAAAAAATTGACTCAAAATATATAATGATTACTATTACATAATATTTATGTAATGTATGAAATTGATAACAATAACACCAATTAGAGTACTTTATATATAGAAACTAATAATGGTAAGTAACTACCAAGTTTTCTCTGTATTGTACGATTCTACAAAAAATATCTTGACGCTGATTTTCAATAGGTAAATGCAGACAAAGAAAAAGTGATCGGACGAACCTCAAACCTTGTTTAATAATAACTATTTTTACGAAGAATTTTCAATGTACTGTAATTATTTGTATCTCTACAACAATACAATGCTCACAATAAATCCAATAGAAAAACCATCTCACTGGTAATCATTTATGCTCCAAGCATATTGATTAATCAAATTACTAAATGCCCAATGTTGAGCTACAGAAATGGTTTTATTGATATTAATTATGATTTGTTATATTAGGTAGATGTTTTGTTAAAGTTAAAACTGATATCAAAAATAAAAATTTAAAAAAACATTGGCTCACCTTGTAAACCACTTGACTGAGGAGTTGATACTTTGCAAGAGTTCAAAATATTTATGTATACTAGCATTGACTAACTGAGGTCTAAATACCGAATAGTAAATTAGATTCCTCTTTTATGGATATATTTCTTAGTGGATCAATTACTTTGAGGTTTCATAACATACTTAAGCACACTTTTCTGGTTCTATAATAGCATCATTAACACCCTCATTTAGCCTGGATTTAAGAATAAAATAACTTTGCTGTCACTTTACTAAGTCGATAAATACGGAGATAAATTGATGGATGTAATTTAGACTTCAGCATGGAGTTCTCGGTAAATTTGTTTGTTAAACAAGTATTCTATTTAAGAGCAAAATAAAATCTACAGAATTACTTAGTGATTAGGCACAAGAACAGCAAGACACAAACTTTCATTATGAAATGACTTATAATTTGTTTCCTGATCAATGGTGCCTGAGATGGTTTTTAATGATATAAAATACCATTTTCGTTTATAATTCTCAGTTATTCCTTACGGTTACCAATTGGAGCACAAAAACACACTGAATTTGGGTCAATATTTAAAATAGTTTGACTTGTATATATAGAATGAAAGTGTACGTTTCACAACTTCACTGAAATTTATAATAATTTCTCAAATGTGTGCGATTCTTATTGCATGTTACTATTAGGTTGCTTATAATTATTCAGCATTGAAGCTTGTATATTTAGGATTTTAAATAGTGCTTTAAACTTTAGTGCACTCACAACTAAAACAAATTTATCTAATTCATAATCAGTACTCATAACGCACTCGATATTTTATTAAAAGCAGAGTCTGTTTCATTTATTATATGTTTTATGAAAACAATCGATATTCCGCAAGCAAAATAGTAATATAAAACTTTATCTGCAATTAATTCAAGACGATTTTAATATACTGTTTTATGTTTACGGACTTGTTCACACTGGTGATTTTTTCTTACTCAATCGGTTCGGTTCGTTTAGAGAACAGTGAACAATAAAAGAAGTTATCGGGCCCGTTGCATGACATGCCACTAGAGGGCGCGTTACTATGGCGCCATGATGATCTCATTATAGAGTGTCTCAACGTGTCTGAACATGTGATTACATCATCAATGTCTAGATTTAAGTATGTTCTAAAAGTTCCTAGTAAAGCTATTATATTAAGAAACAAGTATTATAACACTGTTACACAAGTCAGTTTGTATCACACACATTATATAATTATCCATCATTTGAACGAGGCAAATATTATAGGCAATAATTTACTTTACATACTGTTACAATCATCTATTGCCTTATTTATGTATAAAACACCTCCCTAATTCATTTGTTCTATAGTTTCACTTCTATATTCAACTTGTATGATATATATATATATATTGCTTTTTCTAGAGCTGGATAGTGTTACTATCACATTTAATGTACTGATATAAATAAAAAAAATCTGCTATTTCAATCTTATCAACTTTATAGTCTTCACTTACATATGTTTTACAAAGGTGGATGGTGCTACTAGGTGGATTGTGTTACTAAGGTTCTATAGGCAGTTGATGTTAATAAGCGATTGGTATTACTATGGTTCTATAGGCGGATAGTCCTGTAGGATTGCATCCAGATTTCAATCTTATGTTTATAACTTCCATTTATATATTATATGTGTTCCTATAGGTAGATGTGTCACTAACACATTCAGCTTACAACTGAAACGTTTTTATTACACCTAATGTTTCATTGTTATATATATTGAACTAAGCTGATTGTATTCTTATGATTTAGTTTACATTTAAAGTATTGTATTATAGTTTTTGCTTCTATAATTGATTTGCATAACATACTTTTTCGCAATTATCGTCCTAAAAACGATGCTCATTTAAGTCTCAAAATATCATGCAATCATTTTCTATACAAGTTTACAGTTTCACTTGTTTGGCTTTATGGATTAAGTATACCATTCCTCTACCCATATAACTATGATTTTTGTTATACTTGGCAAAATAGTTTTAAGTGAAATGATAACACAGGCCTGCGATGGTTTTATTGTCTTGATATTTTTACATGTTCTACAGTAACTCCTGTACCCTTAGATGGGGCGTAGTGTTTTGTTTAAATTATAGTTGCTTTTAAATCTTAATGTTATGAGAATCTTAAATATATTGAGGACAATTCTAGTACTTAAAATGAAAGCAAAAACGTGAGTTGCATGGTTATAGATAATGTTTTCGACTGCACTGAAGCTTCCATATTTTTACTAAGAACGACCCATAACATCAAGAGTTGCATATTACCCATATAACTATACATCATTATAGTTACAGACGTTTTTCATTAGTTTTAACATTTCAGTCAGTAAAAAACACGTCTTTCAGGAAATTGACTGGTTTACACATTTATAAAATAAATGTAATACATATATTATGTAAACATTATGGTAAGGCATAGATAGATAAAGCAAAGCAACTGCATGGCTCGTGAATAATACATCAAAACACTTTTATCTTATCACATCCAGATCTATATCTAGTTGTATCTCTACCTATTCAACATCCGCCCACAAGTGTGTGTGAAACATGTTGTTAACTTCTATCCATGAAAATTTAGTTTAATTTAACATCTAGTTGACGTCAAAAATTAAAATATCGCAATTTTTGTTTGTCATTTTCCCAGAAAATTAGAGAATACATCGGTGTAAAAACATGTTTATCTGAAATGAACAGCATTCCTGATTTCACAACGTGATTCCTTCTCGAATATTTATAGAATTAGCAAGTTTATGATAAAACTATACGGTAGAAGCATGCATGTATTTACCCAGGACTGACAGGTTTACGAAAAAGCTGATTTTTGGGTCGGTGCTCACTTGACACTCATAAATACCTTGGTCCTTCAACTGAGTAAACTTTATCTGCAAAACCCAGTCATTACCATTACTTGTACGGACGGTTTGGAAACGGTCATCACTGATGTATGTGTCAGTTCCAACAGTGAGAACATGAAAGTCTTTCCTTCGAATCCATGATACCTGAAAACAATAACAAAGTTGATGAGCCAACATAGATATATTTAAATGTTATATATATATATATCTTTTTTATTCCTATAATTACAACTCAAACAATAAAACAAAATATGGATGTAAACTGAATAAAGCTGTGTGTTGATACAGCAAATACAGTCTTGGCCAAAATGTTCTATATTGATGTTACTGTCTACATGTATGGAGTAGTTATTGAGTAAATGCCCGAGTAGTAATAGAGAAGGTAGCGTATGATAGGTCAAACATGTACGAGTTGTCAGAACAGTAGCGTACTCCAAGTGTATTATATCCAGAATCCTGAAACGTCATCGGACTAGAGGAAACGTTGTTCCAGGAAAGTCTATTGGCAGACGCCAAAAAAAAAAGTACTGCCCGAGATGACCATGTTTTCACCAGGTTTACAAGGTCGAAAGAGGTTTTGCAACATTTTACGACAGGAATGGCATGAACACCTTCATTCCAGGGTATTCAGAAAAACAGTGAATACGAGACTGACCAAACAAGGTTATTTTACAAGAAGGTCTATCTGCAACCCAATATTAACCAGAATTCACCTTTGTCACTGTCTTATTTGGCAAGACAGCATATTAACTTATAGTTAGGACACTGGTGACATATCATATTTTCATACAAGTCTGTTTCCGGCTTCTTAAAGCTGATTGTAGAATTCGTATTCATCATTTATCCAGAGAACAGTGAAGTAATACTTTCTTTACCACAGGGAATACACAGGAATTGGTGCAGTACATGTTTGGGCAGCTGTTCATCATGGTAGAAAAACTGCCCTTGATATCCTACAGGGAAACGTCAATGGCGCCTTCTACAAGCATCAAATGGAGATGATATTTCTGTCATATGCTAGTGCAATGTTTGACAATAACTTCGTTTTCCAGGATAACAATACCACTGCTCAGTGTGCTCATATTGTAGAGCATTATCTCAACCAGAAAGACGTTACAAGATCGCCATGGCCAGCAAAGTCTCCAGATTGTAATCCCATTGAGAACTGTTGGGCATCACTGAACCAGAATATTGTTAACCACGACCCTAAATCAGCTACTGTAGCTGAGTTGCAGCGCATTCTAGTGACAAGTTGGGATGAAATCACGATAGATCACATCAAAAATATCATCGACAGAATGCCACATCGCCTTGTGGAGGTTATTAGAGTACGATGAGGGCCAACCAAGTACTGAATGTGTATATAAACTGATATAAGGATACAGACACTATTTATAATGATTTGATGTTATATATTTCATTTTATATGTTTTGGTAAGGTTTAGTTGTGATAGGTGAAATGCTGAATTACACATCTTTCCACAGTTGTCTGATGAAATTGTTTGCTGTTCTAATATATCATTCATGATGTCTATAGAACCTGTCTCATTATACAAATTACATATGTAGATGTTTAATATAACATGCATTTCTCAGTTTTACAAAGCTAAGTGTATTTCTATTCCATCTTAATAATAATTATCTTATTTGTCATAAAATATGTAAACATTTTAGCCAAGACTGTAGGTTGTTGTTTTTCATGCAAAACGATTTGTATAAATAAATGTAATTTAGAAAAATATATAAATTTCACTCAAATAACTTATGTTACATCATAATATAACAGCTACTTCCATTTATAAATAAAATTCAAATCGTCTCATTAAATTTCCTTATTACGCTGCTTATTATCACATACAATTAATTTGTTGTCAGCTAGTTACAGATTATTTCGCTGCTGATCTATGCCATTCGCTTGTCATAGTGGAAAAATAAGGACAATTTATATTCTTATTATTCTCTTAAATAACTGCACACCATAGCACTGTTCGGATTTCCGAACTCTTAAATAACTCCACACCATAGAACTGTTCGGATTTCCGAGCCCTTAAATAACTCCACACCATAGCACTGTTCGGATTTCCGAGCCCTTAAATAACTCCCCACCATAGCACTGTTCGAATTTCCGTGCTCTTAAATAAAATCAATCCAACTACCATTACTCGGATTTCTGGGTTTCCTGAGATTCCTTACATACCTTAAACTTTCTTTCTCATAAATTCGTACCGTTAGCTGCTTGAAAAAACAAAAATAACAACAACTTGCAAATATCGAGTTCCTAACGATCCTCCCAGATTCAGGTATCTATTTAGTTCCTAACGATCCTCCCAGATTCAGGTATTTAATTAGTTCCTAACGATCCTCCCAGATTCAGGTATCTATTTAGTTCCTAACGATCCTTCCAACTTCAGGTATTTAATTAGTTCTTAACGATCCTCCCAAATTCAGGTATTTAATTAGTTCCTAACGATCCTCCCCAGATTCAGGTATTTAATTTAGTTCCTAACGATCCTTTCAAATTCAGGTATTTATTTAGTTCCTAACGATCCTCTCAGATTCAGGTATTTAATTAGTTCCTAACGATCCTCCCAGATTCAGGTATTTATTTAGTTCCTAACGATCCTCTCAGATTCAGGTATTTATTTCTACTAGTACTATGTTCTAACAGGTAGTATAAGGATTATCGTTATCAATGATTATACAAAACACTTATCTATCTGTCTATCATAAGATGAAACCGTAACGACGATAAAGAGATCAATATCTAATTAATTGTCTCTTTATTCGTATTCACGGCTTCATCGGATGGCTAAATTCATTTTTTAATACATATCTCTTCTTATTCGAGACTCAACTTTTTCCCCTGTATCTAAGAGGTAAATGAGAATCTTATCGTTTATTATTCTTTAATTTACACACACACACAAATATTCTCTCGGGTTTTTCTTTTCAATTTCACGCACCGCTCGCTGTCTATGAAATACTAAGAATGAGATATTTCTTAAGGGTATTTAATTAAATATTCTAAATGATGACGATACGGATGTCTACAGTATTCTCCAATCATTTTGTTTTCAGATATTTTACTTTTGATACACCGTCTTTACCAAAATAACGGATACTTTTGTAATAATATATGGAATTCATAATATATATATAAGGAGTTAATAACGCTTCCTTGGTATGTAGTATCATAAAGATTTGTTTCAGAGAAAATTAAAATTTTCCCTTTAGGTTTCCTTAATGTGAAGAGTCGTCTGATACAGTTATAAAATATCATTAATACCAATTATATTTAAAATTGATTTCCTCTTTGTATATTTTGTAAAATATTTCCATCATATTTATTTTCGTGAGGAAACCTTTTATGAAATCAAAATTATAAGTATATCACATACAATAGAATGTTCATTCATTGAAATGTTGTTTCTTTGTTTTAGATGTTGGTACAAAGCTATAGAACAGCTATCTACTCTAACTCTTCTTCATTTTGAGCTGAAATGATAAAGATAAGATAGGTAGTTAGTAAATAATACCCACCGCTAACTCTTGGGTTGTATTCAAACATTGAACGCAGCTACAGCTCTATAGTGCGCAGCGCAATTTTGCGAATAGCACGCAAACTATAGACTTCACAGTCCGGCATGCTAACCACCAGGCTACGCCAGACTAATATATTAAACGATAATTCAAAATTAATCTGTAAACTAGTAATAAAGCATTTGGGTTTCCATAGTCTGTTTTAACAAGATATATTAACTCTCTTTTTAAATAAAGATTGTACTGTCTAGCTGTAAAAGTGGTAACCTTCCAGCTCACTCCTTCAGAAAATCTAATTACAAAGGCCTGCAATGGTTTTATTGTATTCGAATTGTTTACACGTTCTACAGTAATTCCTGTACGCTAAATCCAAAAATTATAACCATTTTTCTCCATCACGTACAGGTTTTTCACAAAACGTTATAACGCAATACATAAAAGAAAAACCACAACACGTAGTCTTGAGACTAAAAGACGTAGATTTAAAAAAATCAGTATGAATGAGGATGTATATTCGTTTGACATCAATGTTTTCCTTTTTTTTTTTCAGTTTGTTTGAATTTCTGTTAACAAACATAATAATAAAAAATGTTCATTGTGGTAAACGAAATGATCTTAAGTAACAGTTTTTTTTTCTTTCCGATTTGTAAAAAAATCCTTTAGTGATAGAAAAAAATGAATATTATTTTCGAAATCTGTGTAACTGAATTATGGAAAATCTGTTATTAAATCTAAAATAACTGTTATGAAGTTTACATTCTTAGGCCTGTGTTGTTTTTATCTACAATTTCAGTAATTTCCAAAATGGTTTTAATATGTTTACGAACTTTAATTAATAAACTTTTAAATTCACAGGCTTATGTTATCACATTCCATGTTCTGCCATTATCACAAAAAAGATCAAAATTATTAGAATTACATCTCAGTGATTTTTAAATATATGTTTTGTGTGTTTCATATCTTCCATATTTATGTCTTTAATCTGAAAAATTAGCACTTTTATATTGTTAAAAAGACAAATAAATACTATAAAATATTTAAAGTACGCATATTTCAGCCTTCCAGTTGCTCAGCGCATGTCTGTGGACTTACATCGCCAATAACCCGTAGATACTCGTGGTGGGCAGAGCACGGATAGCTTTGTGTAACTTTGTACTTAACAACACAATATTTAAGATAAGGGGTTAAAGTTACTTTCTTGAAAAATAACGATATAGAAAATGAAATCTCTAAATAGAAAACTATGTATTCTAAATATTATTTATATCATGGCTAATAGACATATGATATTACTAATAGTAGCATAAAGATTGATTACTGTTGAGTTCTTTTTTTTTCTCTTTCTCTTCTAATAGTATGATAAAAAAACAGAGAAGCACAAAAAAAACCCACAATGCCTCAGCCTCATGCCGACTAAAAGCAAAGCGTGTATCATACAGAAACTGTAAATATAAAATAAAGAATTTTATTTGTTAATTTTACGCTACACTGTGTTACAATTTTCGTGATCTAACTTATTTCTCTTTAAATAATTAAAATTGGTTGGTTTGAAAATGTTGTTAATAATGTATATCTTAAGGAGTTCTTCTATAAATATTATTATT